CTCCCGGGGTCCCGCGCGCCGGCCGCCCTGATTGGCCGCTGGGGCTTCATTCATGGCCCCCCTGTACAGCCAGCGTACACACTCACGCCCCGGGGGCGCGGCCGCCACGTGGGGAGTGGCGCTAGGGTGGCCCTGGGACCGCACCCCCTCGCGTCCTGACTGCGTGGGCCCCGCTTTCCCTCGGTGCTGGAGATCCCGAGCCCGTCCGGTCCCACTTCCACGCGGACTGAATTCTCTCTCGCATCTTGCCGGGGCGTCCGGAGGCAGCGGCTGGCGTCGCGGGCTCCGGGAGGCGCTCGGGCTCCGAGAAACGGCGTAGCCCCGCGCTCCGCCCTTCCCAGTGCGGTTGCCAGCGGGTCGGGATTCCCGCGGGTCCCGGCGGCTGCCAGAGGGAGGCTTTGGGAGGCTCGGCTCGGTTCCGGTGCGGCTGCTCACCTCGCCTTGCCGCCTGCAGCTTCCAGCGCGCACTGAGTCCTTCGCGCGCCTTCCGGACGCGTCTCGGTGTTCCCTCTTCTCCCTCTAGACGCAACGCCACCTCTCCACTGGACCCCCGCGGCCACAGTCGGCGTGGCCACAGACGGACTGGCCCCGGCTTCATGTCTCGCGCGGACACCCCTTCTTCCAGGTACCGCGGCCCAGGTGAGGACTGCGCGGGCGTCTGGGGACCGGGGCGGCAGGCGGTAGCGGGGCTTAGGTAAGCCAGGAGCGCCCGTTATCTGGCTGCATTCTGGGCCTCTGGAATAAGGAGACCTGGAGGTGGAGGCTGTGACTCCCCGGGAAACGCCCCCTCCCCCCCGCTGGGGGTACCCCTTCTTTCCTAGCCCGCAGGGCTCACTGCTCAGGACCCTCCTAGGTGAGGCTTTGGATGGCCGAGGCGAGGAGGAAGTGGGGTGGTGGCGACATTTCAGGGTGCAAGGGAGCTGTCCAGCTTGGGGGTGGTGGTGGTTGGGTTGGATTCTAGCTGGACTTGTCCGGGGCTGCTGTAAAGACAATTGAATGAGGAGCTTTGTTGGAGAGGCAGTGTGTGAAATTTAGGCACCTCTTCATGCTTCCAGTTCT